TACCAACCTTCTCCTCCGAGTCCTTCCTGGGTTTCTTGACAAGTACAGCGAAGCGCTGTTCCTCAGTGCAGTCCTTGGCAATGACATGGTAGCAGTTGGTGAGCGGGGCGCGGAAGACGACGTCGTCGAAGGTCCTGACCTTGGTGCTCTTAACTTCGCACACACGTTCCTTCACCATCTCGTCGCGGATGTCACGGAGAGTCCTCCTGGCGATTGAGGGAAGATAGAGTCGTGGAACGTAGAAGTCGTACAGCTCCATCTGCTCATAGGGAGTCTTCAGGACGAAGTTGATCAGGTTTCGGCTCACGGGGTCGACATTCAGTTTGAAGAAGAGGCGATTGCGTTCGCTGGTGACCTTTGTGACTCTGCAGTTCCAGAAGGTGTAGCCTCTAAGGAAGTTGTAGACTCTTTCGAACAGGTGCTCATAGAATGGCGTAAGTTTGTACTCAACAACGGTCTTGAGCTGGTTCAGGCGAGCGGCTTTGAGGAGGAGCTCGTAGGCGTTGAGTCCCTTGTGCTCCTTCTCGAGCAGTTTTAGCCATCTCCTCTGGTGCTTGTCCTGCTCCAGCTGGATCTTCATCTTGAGCTCGTTCCACTGGTCTTCTCCCCATTTCATCTCAACGAGTCCCTGGATCTCGCGGTGCACCTGCTCCTTGAGCTCCTTCAGGGTTTTCGGCATGTGGGGCAGCAGGAACTGGATCTTGGTGTTGAACCTCCACTCGTTCCTCTCGTCGTGCAGCATGGGGGTACGTTTGCCTTCTACGTTCAGCTTGCAGTAGCGGAGCTCCTCGTCGCAGATCGTGACCATCTCGACCTCGCCGTAGTGGCGCATCGTGTCGACGTTTTCGACCCTGAGGTGCAAGCGGTGCTTGTATCCTTCGGACCTCTCGACGTCGCGAATTCTCATCTCGAATCTCTCACGGCGCTCTCTCTCCTCAAGTCTCTCGTACTCGTTCTCCTCAATCTCGAATTCCTTCTCGAAGAGGTTCGTGAAGTCGGGCCTCTCCATTTGGAACCTCTCTATTTTGTCCATTGTGAAGATGAAGCGGATCTTCTTCGGCGTGTGCTGTGTTGGCATCATGACGAACTCCCAGTCGTACTCTCCAAGAAGAACATTGCGCATGTTCCACTTGTTCAGCCAGTTTCCGCGGAGAACAGTCTTGATTCCAGCGATCTCGAACACTCTTTCCTTCTCATTGTGTGTCTTCCACATTGGAAGCAGTACAGTCCTCTGCTCCTTCTCGAGGAAGTAGTCCTTCTTGCCGCTCAAGAAGCGGAAGAAGACCACTGGGCGGGACATGACGCGGAGAAGAGTCATTTCCTCTGTCGGGATGTGCAGCGTGTAAGTGAGCTTGTTCTCTCTTTCACCGACCATCTCCATGACGAATTTGAGTGGGATGTGTCCCTCAATGGTACGGACAACCTTGACACCCTGTTCGTAGAGTGGGTTCCACAGTCTCATCTCA